AAATATTAAAAAAATATTAATTTAAAATAAATACAAAAAAAATTAAACTTTTTAAAATATAAAAACAAACCGGCTATGAAATTACCAAATTAAGCTAGACAAATGAAGTTATGGATGATGATGATGATGATGATGATGATGATTTAAAAATTGTTAAAAATAAAAACATAGAGTATCTGTATCTTATAATTAGAAGTTATGGATGATGATGATAATAATGATAATAATAATAATAATAATAAAGTCTATGTTTCATTTCAATTGAAGAGACCATATCACAGGGACCCATGTTATGGTGAGACTTCTCTAATTAGATACAGTCCTCGTAATTATTAACATTGTCGTTACTTCGCATTCGGTGTCTAATCCAGTTTTGGATGGGGGTTATGAGACAGTCAAGTTGATCTAAAGTCATCAAGTTAAATAATTTGTTCGAAAGTGTATCATTTTAGTTTTCTTTTTTTATCAAAAGCTTGATAGGAATTAATTTTACCATTGATTATATCAGGAGTTTGTCATCTGAATTTAACTGGATAAATATCAAAAATAATTTAAAATAAAACTTAGTTTGCAAAGGCTTTGGAACACCGGCTAATCCATTAAGATGAACTGGGTTAAATAATTATAATTATAATTATTAAACCAAGTCTAGCACAATTCATGAATTGATATGAGAAATCCATTATAAGAAATTTTTTCAAGGCTGAGTTTCTTGATAAACTGAAAAATATAATAATTTAAAAAATTTCTTTACTCAAATAAGGTTTTAGTAATCTGGTTAATCCAATTAAATTTAACATCATCAACTCTAAATAATTTTTTTAGATTAATATAATTTATTTGGATTAAAAGCGTATTTATTTTTGAATTTCAATAGTATTTTTTTAAAAAATTAATGTTTTTATTTTGTTTTGCTTTAAATTAATATTTTTTAATATTTTTAAGTTATTTCAATGTACTAATATTAAAAATAATTTTTAAAAATAAATAAATAATATTAATTTAATATATTTTTAAATAAAAACATTTTAAAAATTAACAACACCAATTTTTTTTTTTTAAAAAACCCTCCAAACTCGATAACTCGAATTTTTTTTTTTAAAAAACCCTCCAAACTCGATAACTCGAATGATCAATACCCACAATTACTCTCCCGTGCTCCAACACAAACCCAACAGTCGCCATTCATTTTGGTCAATTACAACGGCCAAAACTTAATTGATGCGCTACCAAACGACAACAGCCACAGTTTACCGTTGTAGTGGTGACACTCAAATACTCATTGCTTCCACCAAAAAGCAAAGCAAAGTGCCTCTTCTTTTTCTTCTCCTACTTTTCTAAAAAAGCTGATGTCTTGAAGCTGTCAGGATGCCGATGATCACACCCTGACCAACCTTAACGTCTACTTCCCGAAGAGGAGCAGAGCTAGATAGATTGATAAGGTGTTTGTTAAGGTTGAATCAAGAACATATAGTTAATTAATGGCAGGAGACTGAACAGTGGGCTCTCAGGCAACAAGAGACTGGACATATAATTAGTAGTTTTTTTCTAGAAAAGGGACATGCCATCGAGGCAAGATGAGATCAAATGGCATCCATTGATCAAGCAATTCCTGCGTGGAGGCAACGTGAAGTGGAACAGTGTGAAGTTTAGAGAGAAAGCAAGGAGAGACACGGAAAATAAGAAGCCACCCACACAGACACCCACAGATCATGAGATATCGTAAAAGGAAGTGTCTGGGCACAGTACCAGATGGGACAAACGCATATGCGAGTGAGAAAGCTTGGAGAGCACATGACCCAGCATGAATCTAACCTAATGGCTTTTCCTTTTCGGGACCTACTTAACTCCATTATTTCTATGCTTGTGAAGAAAAATTGAGGAGCTCGTCCTTGTCATGCACTGATTTTACACACCCACGAATGTGGATGTTGGTGGCGGCTTTTTTTATATTCTTTGGCCATGATCATGGGTTAAAAATCATGAATGATTCTTCAAATATATATTAGCATTTGATCGATCATACCAACCCCTTATTTTACAATAGTTATGGTCATGCCAACCTCTCATGTCATCCAGGAGTTAAAAGATCCAAGTGGCTCGTACGCATCTCTTGTATTTCTTTTCTCAAGAGACGTTTTTTCAATATAAAACCTACTAATCCTATATCCCATGTATTATTAAGAATTTTAAAAGGGTAGTTTATATATATAAATATCATTCAACTGTATAGGTAGTCCTAACTTTATCACTAAATGATTTTTTATATTAATTTTATTCTTAGGTTTTAAAAAATTCTCAATTAACGACATCCTTTCATTTTTTTTAGATTTTCCATCTATATTTTCATTTAAATTACTTTTTTTAGATAAAAAGATGTTATTTTATAAAGAAAACATTATTTTTTTACTGATTCTAACAAAAATCTATTAAGAAGTCACGATAGTAAAGTTAATATAAAAACTTGTTTGGAAGCTTGAGACTATTGATCATAATAAAAATATAAAAATACATTGTTTACATATATATATATATAATCAAACCAAAACAAAAATTAATTTAAATTGATCAGTTTTGGTTAAATCTATTTTATTTTTTTAAGTGAAAAAATGCAAAATTTGTTTATTGTATATAAATTTTTTTTGTAGGGTATTTTATAAGCTATTTTTTTACCCAAGTCTAGCTGCCCAATTTATTTGGGATTTTGTTGTGCTTTTTAAATTTTTGATTAATCATAAAATTATTTACAACAAAATTCATTAATTATGCCTCAATTCTTTGAGGCTAGTGCAGTATATTAGCTTTTTTCATCATAGCATCTCCAGTAACAAGAGCCAAAAATAAAACTGCAAATTATTAAACCAGGAATATATGAGGTTACAGTAGATAAATAGGCAAAAGAAAACTTCAATATATTGCTGAGTACAAGGAAAGTTTTTATAAGCATCTTGATCATGATCATGAATCCATATAGTTTCTGGGCGTTGGCTTATTTACCAGCATCGACAAGCTGGATGAGGAATATATGTTACAATTCAAAAGCAGAGTGATTACTAACTTAGCCCGTTTATTTTTTATATCAAAAATGTTTTTTTTAATAATGTTTTGTTTTAAATTAATTATTTTTTATTTTTTAAAAAAATATAAAAAATTATTCTAAAATAGTTTCAAATAAAAACATTTTAAAAAATAACACTACAAGTGTGTGTGTATATATCCATTGAAGTTGTTTAAAAAACCATCCACAAAGTACATAATTACATGGGCCAAGGGACAATATCGCTTGAGATCCTGATTTTCTTGTAAATTTAGAATAACATTATCAATTGCAATTTAAAAAGGTTCGGGTCCAATTATCCAATAAAAATAGGAAACTTTTTTTTTAAAAAAATGTAAGCATTCTTTTCAGACAAAAAGGTTTTCTAAAATTGCAATAAAAGTTATTGTTTTTTCTTTTCTTGATAAAACAATTATTTTTTCTGTTCTTATTCTCGAATATTTGAAACAAAAACCAGCAAATGATTTTGACCGAACATGAGGCGCAGGACTAATCTGACCGAGCATTGATACTTGAAGGACTACTAGTGATTTTTATCCCACGATCATGTGTGCATTCTCTCGTAACTCCCAACAAAAATATCTGGATTCTGGACGCGTGGGTTCTCTGTACGGTTACGATCTAGGGACCCAATTGAGCTGGAGTTGGATTTCGGCACGGTTACGATGTGGATCTCTAGGGACCCAATTGAGCTGGAGTTGGATTTCGGATCTGGCATAATAATAATAATAATAAATTAATAATTCCACTTTTTTTAGTTGTAGGATTGTCATTTTAGACGTCCCTTTCTCTGACTCCTTTCCTGGAACTTGGTTGCATAATAATTAAATAAATTATAACAATTAGGATTCAAATATGTTTTATTGAAAAAGAGTATTAATATAATCAAATTGACAATTAAATAAATTGTAACTTAATTATATAATGATTAAAACAATAACTTGGTTAAAATAGCTAGTTCAGGGTGAAGTTGCGAGAGGCTAGCAAGGATCCTGGCCCTTGCCAAAAAAAACAAAAAAAAAGCCCTCTCCCTTGAATAATTTAAAACTCTAGGGCTAGAATTAGTAAAATTTAAGTTTTGGCTCCCTAGAAATTTATTTTGCTCCGGCTCCGCCTCTAACTAAATTATGCTTATTTTTTATATTTTAAAAATTAATCATGTAGTAATTAAATAAACGGGAATTATTAGAATTCATATCCACTTAATAAAGAAAAATATTAAATGTATAATAACTAGATTATGCTACTTTTCTATATATTTTTTTTGATTTACTTTTCTATATTTAATTTGCTTTGATTTGTTGTTTAGTTACATATCTTGCCTTAGTTGTAATTGCACATCAAAATCTCACTACAATTTTTTTTTTTAAAATATATATATGTGGACTGCGAGCTCCAACATCTTATTTATAATGAGAATAACGTGTCATCTAACCTTGAATTCCGTTCTATCATTTTCAGAATTTGAATCTATGGCTTCCATGTAGAAAGGTCAAGTTTTAACTTTTAACCGGTGGCATCCCCACTTAAAAGCACGGTTATCCGGAAAAAGTTCACTCCAAGCTATATATATATATATATATATAGACACACACATATAAATCTTATAAAGATCTTTTTTAAAATAAAAAATCCAAGTATTTTTGTTAACTCGACCTGCTAAAATCAATAAATCATTCCATTGATCCACGAAGTGAATAGCCCTTCAATATCTTCTGTTACAAGCATAATGCTGGTTAGAGTTTTTGTACGTGAATGCAGTAAAAATTATTTTTTAAATATATTAAAATAATATTTTTTTAAAAAAATTATTTTTTATATCAGCCCTCAAAATAATTAAAAAAACATATAAAATAATTAATTTAAAACTAAAAAAATTCAATTTTTTTTAAATACAATTAAACCACGCTAGAGCCATGCTAGAAAGGCACTCCAGCATTCCAATTCTCCAACTGGCCCAGTAATCCTGTTCCTTCATGGGTTCCCTGAACTCTACTTCTTAATAGAGATGCCATCTCCCCTGTCTTGCCTTAGTTATCGTTGCATAGCTCCTGACCTTCGCAGCTACAGTGCTCTGACCACCCGCATCAGTGAGTGAGTACGCGACCCCGGTGGACTTCCCGACTCACTACTGGGAATAGAGCAGGTGGTTTCTAGTTACCCATGACCCATGATTGCTTGGTATTTAGCTCGTTTCAACGTGATGGCTGATCGAGAAGGCTTTGGTGAGCATGAGCGCTCCATTTCTGACCAGAAATCACTGGTGAAATCATGTGGAGCTGCTAGGGTTTTCAGGTAAACACACCGATCTTTTTATTGTTTACTACATTGTTACAGAGAATTCGCAACAGCCCTTACCACATGTAATATTGCTGAACTGTCCTGCAGGAACCTGGAGAGATTACTAAAGTTGACACTGCCAGACTGATGGGAGAAATATTTACAAACTTCATTCCGGATCCATGTTTGATTCCTTAAGAAATAGGAACAAGGCATTTCCTCAACCTCCAAGTTTCCCCTCGGGGCTGTCAGTAGAAGTACCAATTGCTAATTTACAATGCTAGTAAAGATAACATGAATGGCTTCACTGGAGGATTGAATGATTATCAAACCATCAACTTGTATGACAAACCATCAACTTGTATGACTGGCACAATTTACTGCTAACTTATCCATGAAACGTGTTCTGTCAAAAATCAAATCTAAAAATTAAACCCTTTTGTTTACCCCTTTCCTGTTGCAGAACCTGGGAGCTCAAGGCGTCATGAACTTGTTTGGCATAAAATTAGAATGTCATAGGTAGGGTTGTTAGGTAAGTATTCCAGCTAGCAAAACGATTGACCAATTCAAACTATTTTCATTTTGCAATCCCAGGCAAGGAATGTGGCCCCTGGATGGCATCTTTGGCACCATGGTCTGCGGAATGATATCACCGAATCAACTGCATTGTTGGAGAATATAAAATGCATACACATCAACTGATTTGATCTGCTATTTAGCTTGTATAAATTAATAGCTATGACACCGTGTACAAAGTAATAGCTTAAATTTCAAGGGATTTCCAGTTGGAAGTTTTGCATCAATTGTAGTCCCTGTAACACTAGGCATTACCATGGCTAAAGCATAAAAGACACGCAACTAACGGAAACCTGTGAGAAAAATCTATCATTTCTCTTTAAATAACATGTCGTCAGGTGGATCCAACTAGAGTGGAAAAGTCACAGGTGTAAAAATAGTATTGCTAAACCTACCACACGCTTCCCAACCAAACCTCAGAGAGCCATTCTGATACCTCAATCAAGTTTCTCCACGAAATCTTTCTGCCACAAAATTGAACCAGGTGCCATTATATGCTCTGATCAAGGAAGTTTTAAACTTAGCATTTTTATTTTTTTTGTATATTCTGATGGGAGAAGAAGTAGGCGAATATTAAACGTCACAAGGTCAATTACAAACCAATCATCATAAATTTCTAACCTCCAAGACCCATCTCTATTCCTTTGGAATCCTTTGTTAAGGCAGCTTGACGTTCCTGACGGCGGCGTTCTCTCTAAAACAACAAATGCAAGACAAGTAAAAAACAAAAAGAGTGACAACAATCACCAAATATGATGTTCAACATGTCAAAAGAGATGCTTTTGTTCATTATTCTTTCAATGTTTCTAAAGCTCACAAAGATAGAAACAATGCTACTATAACAACTCATATGATTGACTAAAACTAAAATTAGCTCTTTACAAAGGAAACATTGTTTATAAAAGAAATCTTGCTCGAGTTTGTAATTCCCATCACCACTTTGTGGACTAGCGTGCATGGTGCTACTGGTTTAAGGACGTCTTCTTTTCTCTAAAGTCCATGTTCAATCAACAAGCATTGGTAATACACAATCAACATTTTATGATTTTCATTTCCATAATTATCACAATAAGTCGTTCTATCTGCCAAGCTTTCATCTCACACTGATTTACAAATTAATGCAACAACGCTAAAACCCTATTCTCCACTGAGGAAAAAAACCTTTTCTAGTAACAAAGAAATGGGAATGAGGATTACAAACATACCCTTCTTTCCCAGTAAGGAAGGAAGCAAACAAAATCATAGACTGGAGTAATGGTTGATACCAAGACCACATTGATTCCAGAGAACACCAAGAGTGCAGTCATCGGCCGTGTTCTATGTGGCATCTTTCCTTCCAGTCAAGATTCTTTATCGGCAAACATGAGTTATTGCTAACATGTTTAAAATTAATAACTAAATTAAATTTAAATGAGCTCAATAATAGCCGGGAAAATCTCCCTCATCAAAAACATTCCCTACACCCTAGCAGATCAAGCTAAAATCATAAGCAAACACAAATCCACCTCAAAGTTTGTTCCTTCACTACTGTTCTGTTCTAAATTTCAGTTCTTCAAAATAAACCCATTTTAGTAATACAAAAAAAAAGAAAAATTTGATCAATTAAAGGTGGTAAGAATCAAAATAGGCCCAGCAAGCATGGATTTTTTTGGTCCCCCTAAAGCAGGAATGCCATCTAAGGCTTTTTATATTGATTCCCATTTGCCAATTTCCACAAAATCTTGTGTAAATAAGAAATAAGCATTAAATATTTCGTTTTCTTTCTTTTCTTTTCATTTAATTTTCTCCGAAATCAAACAGAAATAAGAAATTTAAGCACTAGACAAAATGAGAAAAGAGAGAAGCCATGTACCGGTTATACAAGGTAGCTCCACCGAAAACCAGAATCTTAACTTAGAAAGACAGTTCCTTTGAGACCCAAAACCTAGGAGATTGAACGAGAACTTCAAAGCCCGGTTACTTTTGTGTCGACCAAGTTACTGCTGCCTTGTTTGCTGCCGAGGTGGATGAGCGAAACGGACCTCAAGGAGGTCCGTTTGAGGCTTGATTGCTGAAGTGTCTGGAAGAAGCCCATCATTCTAAGCTCAACGGGCTTAGAATTTATAAATTTGTGAACCTACAATTCTTTTTTACATTTAAAAAACTTAGGTCCCTCGGGTGGCACCATTAATTAATTTATTCTCTAATAAAAATCATGATTGAGATCCACATGTAGTTGCCGTATGATAATTTTTATTTTTATTTATATGAATATTTAAATCAGCTTGTACATGTCACGACTAATCTCACATTTCACTAAATATTCTACAAGCTCAATAAATATGTAAAATACTGCAGAAATGACAGGCGTGTATAATAAAATTCAAACCCGGTGCAGAGGAAAAAAACCCGAGTGCAGTATAATAAACTTTGTATTATTAAAGGTGGTGTTTTGTTATTATTGCAAGATAAGAAAGACAAAGTCAATGAATACATAAATAACATGTTTTCCTTGTATTTAATGTTTTAAAATAATAAAAATTTGCTTAAGAAATATCATGGAAATATACTATATCGATGTTCTTCCCTCCATTTTCTATCCCCAAATAATAACCAAGCATTATCTAAATGCGTAGATTTCAATGATAGGAGTGTTTTTGAATATTTTTTGTGCATTAAAAGCATATGTATCCAATTCTAAGCATGTCATTCACATTAAATCTATGCTAATATATAAACAAGAATATTTTTCTAGAACATTTCTTTACTTTTACTTGCGTTCAACTAAAGAGTTTGGTTAATCACCATCAAGCTCAGTAATCATGATACAAAGCTCAATTATTACATGGGTCAAGCTCACCGCTAATCACTAACATAAATTATACGAGATTCCTCAAAAAATGATTATACAACTCCCTATTTTACAAGGGTGTATGAATGATAATGATTTTTTCAAATTAAGAGAATGTTTTTGTTCCTAAATGGTTGATACCTCACCAAGATAATCATGATCTGCCATGTAAAACAGGTAAAAAACATGCACCGAGGTCACTGTAAAATGATAATGACTTAAATTATGTGTAGAATGAGTGAATTCCATGAACTCTAGTTCTCAGTACTTCGAGCAGTAATCTTGAGACAAAAAATTCAAGAAGGTTAACAAAGCTAAAGATAAATTTATCATGTGTCCAAAAAATAATTTAAAAATATATTTTTTATATATTTTTAATTCAAAAACATTTTCAAGAAGCCATCACGTTACCAAACACAAGCAAGGCAAGCACCAGTGTTTTCTACTTGGATCTTAACGAGCAAGTGCTGGTTCTCAAGAGGGTGCAAAGAAGCAATTAGAAGATGTCAGCAAGTAGCAGGCCACATAAAAAGAAACGAAGACGTGCCAAAAGAAAAATCTGCAGCACTCAAAAAACAACTATAATCCTGATTCAATTTGATTTTCTGGTATACAAATCGAGAACTGTAACCTATGTTACAAATGACAATCCTATTTCCCTTTATCAGTTCTAATAAACACCAAACATGATCGAATTATTGCCACCAATTGTTTTACAACAAGAAGATAAGCATGCATCTGTGTGAGCAAACCTGGCGTTACAACTGCACATGAAACCTATAATTACACCAACTATGACCTAACTGCACCACAATTGCCACCGGTGCGGGCTTCCAAGACCAACAGCAGCAATCCATCCAATGGCAAGACGAGAACTGGAGGCCAAGCAAAAGGGTGGTGAACTGATAAATATTCATGTTAACTTCGTAGGGGGATAACATGCTGCTACTTATTCTTGTGGTCGGGCCAACCAGAGAGAACTAAGGGCTCGTAGCCTAGAGAAATAGTCGTTTATTGCCAGAAGTGCACGGGCTGATTGCCGAGTTGTCAGTATACGGTGCATTTGTTCTAGTGTTTGCTGTCTCAGATTATCAGCCTGATTATAACCAAATGAAAGATAATTATAATCAAATGTCAAAGCTATAATTATATTCAAAACGAGGGAAGATGACCGATGAGAACAATGGCGATGTGATGCAAGAATAAAGTTTAGACCAGCATATGCAACTCATGAGCCACATTGCAACTATAAAAATGAAAAAAGGATTATATCATGGAGCATTTTTTTTAATTTACCTGACGAAGGAACCCCTCTAGAGTTCCTAGCTTTCCCATGGCCATGGCCATTTGACCCATATAGTTTGCCACATTCCCAGATGAACCTGATGAGCCAGGGTTGCCATTAGCCAATGTTTCCGCCAGAGATTGCTGCAGTGCTTCCATCCCTTGTGACAGAGCATCTTCAGCCTGTTGGGAAGATTGCTGCAAGTTGCAAATGCCCATCTGCTGTTGCTCTGTCAGAGGCTCCAATTGATTCATAAGAAGCTGCACCGATTTCACCAAATTCAATTCAGTTCACATAATAGACTGCACAATCACCACCTTTTGTGTATTAAAGAAGGAAAAGCATACAAAAGCTATGGCAATACGAAAAACACCTTGAGGAGTTCAGATGAGCGAAAGCCACCTATCCACATGAAACAACGCTCTGCTGGTGTTTTCCACATTCCTGATAAGATGTGGAAAACATCAGCTTTTGCAGCAGTGCCTTTCAGCCTGTAAACTTCATTGAAGTGTGCAACAACATTGTCAACAATAGTACGAAGTTCAGCATCTCCCGCATGTGAATTGACCGCAGCCCTCAGCTCACTTATGTGCCTGTTCTGTTCTTCTAGCCACCGTGAGTATTCTGCATCAAATGCCAAGGCACCTGTAGAACAATGTGATCAACATCATCTGTATAAGAGATCCACATCAAATGCCAAAACATTGGAGTAAATTGGAATCAGTAGCAACAAGCAATTAAGACAGCACACACATGAATCACAATAGAATAATAATGGACAAAATGGTAAACCTCCAACAATGTCCAAATCACATAACAAGCTCGTGGCTAAAGAATCAAAAGCCTAAACACCAGCTGGCAGGCCATACTTTATACGACTCCCATTGCACTAGGTGTCTAATTTGTAATCTGTGAAATCAACTACACAAAAGCATCCCATAAAGATTGTCTTGAGCACTAATCAAACAACCTAAAGCTGCTGACGCACCAGGTGTGATGATGAGATGGTCCATATGATTTGTGGTATGTAAGTCTAAGCAAAGCATTGTTTATAGTAAATAACCATTTATATATAGGGGACTGTGACAAGAACACAACACCTCTGTCATTTGCCAAGCATATTCCCTCCCAATTTTAGAATACCCGGCATCTCCAGAGACAATGCTAATTGCTTATGCTTTATGGTCAGCAATCAGTACCTATCATGAAAAGTCCCCCAACTTTATAAAGTAACAAATCTAACAAGCGCCCCAGTGGTGGCTATAACTTATTCTATACAAGGCCTGGATACTGTTTATTGCAACCATGGAGCAAAATTGTTAATCCTAGTGTCATTGTATGGTCAGTAACTCAACACACAAACATAATGTTCACTTGATATACCATAACATATTGAAAACAAAATCACTAGTCATCATTACTACAACCAGTTCTGCATCTCTACATGCAAAATACATAACCAAACAACCAGAGCTAATTAAGTACCATTTCCACTCATTGAATGGGTTTGATCTCCTGAACTTGAAATGAATATTCCCTGCAGTCAAGAAATTTAAATACAGATTATAAGACAACATATAATCCTTGCCAAAACAAGACAGAAATGGGAAACAATAAAAAGGCAAACCTGTTGCCGGGCTCTCTGGAGCTCTTGCTCCAGTTGGGTCAGCTTAAGCCGGCTGCTCTCCAGTTGTTGTACATATGCCTGTAATGGACATAAGAAAGACAACAAGTTCCATGAAGAACGCATAAAACAGTGTAAATTTGAAATTTATAACATATATAGACCTATCCTTTGCAAATGCAGCTTCCCTGATATAATAGCAATGAATTGTGAGGACAGACAGCCAAAAAACACACACAATACTTACTTTTTTCCTTAGTCGGCTTTTTCTAGCAGCTTCACGATTTTGAGCAAGCCTTCTTAATGTCTGCGTGACAATAATTATGAGAAAAACAAATGAAAATGTCATAATGTTGGGTGGCAGTCATGTAAATAAAATTAACTTCATCTATGCAACCTTCTGATCCCCTGCCTTTTCCTTTGACTTGTCACTGGAATCAGATGCTACTATTGCAGTTGATTGTCCTCTTTCAAACTGCAAAGGGAAGTCACTAAATTGTCACCCACAACTGACCAACAGCCTACGTTTTACCAGGAAATGAAATTTCCTTTGCATGAGAAGGCAATATTGAGAGACATAGAGAGAAAAGAGTAAGATGCATAGATTGGTGAATTTTTGCAAAACTGAGAATACACTGCTTGAGAAAGTAAGAGACATCACCCTTCGATTTTTGTCATCTGTATCATCTGTTGAGGTATCAGTTCTAGGACTGGCTTCTGCCATACTGGTTTCTCCCCAATTCTCAGGATGGTTACCAGGTATATAAACTGGATTTACTTGCACTTCTTTTTGTAGTGGTAATGACTGGGACCCCACAACAGCAGCTGAGAGATTTATATCTGAAGATGCAAGTGGCTGAATTACAGGGAAAAAAAAAATGAGGAAAGGAAAATTGCTCAGTTAACTTTGAAGCCATCATCCGTATAAAATGCAAAGAAATGTGGAGGGAAGATAAAGCTCACCTTATTCAAAGTGCCAAACTGAACATCAGTGCCTATTGCCTGGCCGCTAGATTTTAATTGATGAAAAAGAGGATCTGAAAGACAATATAAATGACTAAGAATACATGAAACTATATCAATATCAAGAGATAATTTAAAAGATCAAGAACATAATCATATAGCAGTCTATGCAATGTGAGCTCAATGGATCATGCTGCAAGCTGAAATTATCTGGTATGCAATCTACCTACAACGTCATGCATGGATGTGCTGATGATGTTTCAACCAGAAGATGACCAAATCAAAAATCAATGCTTTAATTAATGTAGTTAAGGAAAGATGTTATAGAGAAAAAGGACCCATGTTGAGAACTCCACCTCGGGCTAAAAATCTG